TATTCCCCAAAAGTACAGGACTACTAGAGCCAGCAAGGCATAGTGCAGTGATGGCGAACCTTTTAGGGGCCGAGTGTCCAAACTAAAAGGCCTTCCAGCACCGGTGCTGGAGGTGGGTGCTGGAGGTGGAATGTTACCCGGTGCTGGAGGTGGGACTTCTGACCTCTGGGGCAGGACTTCTACCCTCTGCCTGCCACCCTCCCAGACCTTCAGCTGCCTCTCCAGAGACAGCTGAAGCTGGGGGGGGAAGAGTGGAAAAAGAGGAACAAGCATGTGCCACTGCTGCCTCCTCCACCCACCCACCCCCCGTGCCATCCCCAGCCTCCTCCTCCTCCTCCCCTCCCTCCATGTACCAGGGAAAATGGCTTCGCATGCCATCTCTAGCATACATGCCATAGTTTCGCCATCATGGGCATAGTGATTCCATGCTGATATTCCCCAAAGGTCTGATATTCTTCAAAAGTACAGAGCAACTAAAGCCAGCATGGCATAGTGGCTCCAGAATATGGCTCTGGAGACCTGGATCTAAACCCCCTCTTGGCTATGAAACCCACTGGGTAACCCTGGGCAAGTCACACTCTCTCAGCCTCAGGGGAAAGCAATGACAAACCCCCTCTGAACAAATCTTACCAAGAAAACCCTACGATAGATTTGCCTTATGGTCACCATAACTTGGAAATTATTTGAAGGCACAACAACAAACCAGGCTACCATATTACCCCAAGTGACATACTGGTTTGGGATGATGCGAATTTTAGTATAACATTCCCAGGGGACAACAGGTTGGCGAAGGCATGAAATTGAGCATGAATTTGAACCCAGATCTTTCTGACCTTAACCTAATAATCTTAATTACTATTACATTAGACTGAATTTGGATACACCCATCACTAATTCTGTAATTTTCAGGCTCACTGCAATCCTACTTGGCGCCAAAGCATAATTCTTCAGGGAAAGAAACTTTAAGTAGAACTGCTCCCTCCTTATCTTTAGACCATGACAGATAGCACCAAGTTAAGATGCTAACATGTTGGAAGAACATGTTGACATGGCTGGATTTTGGCAAGGGTCTGTCATATCCTTCAGTCATATGTTTCCTTTGGTTTCATTTCTTCAAGCTGTTCATTTCAGGGAAACAGAGACTTTTGTGGTGGGCTCTGGCCTGGAACCACCTAAAAATGCTGGGCCCCACCTCTGCCACCAGTAAGGAACAGAGGGTCCCACCCCAGGTCATTTACTTTTTCATGATTTCAAAAGTTGATGACATTGCTCAAGCAAACTCAGTCATAAAATGGCTGGTGATGGTGGCAGAAATAGATAGGCAGGTTACATGACATACAGATCCAGAAAATAAAGAAAATAAAGAAAAAGAGCAGCAAGGGTAAGGAAGTTATTTTAAAAGTTATGATTGCCAGGTAAGAGAATATAGAGGACAGGGGTGATGTTGGATTGGTCAATATGTGAGGAAACAGAGATTTTATAGAGCAGGAGCAATAGTATCACTAGGGTTGCCATCACCCAGTGTGATAACACATGGTGACACCTCCCCATTGACCCCCTCCTACACCACACCATATGGAATCCTTAGTAATGTGTTTTTTTTATTAATGTTATTCAGAAATCATAATTCCCATATATCTTTAAATATAATGGCAATAGTTGTGCTATAAACAACTAGTAAAATTGCAATTATACCATTAAATTATATCATATGCACAGCATAAATGTATTTACATGGACATAGTTGCATGTAATTAAAGTGAAAATTTGTTAAGATGTGATGCTTTTAAAGAAATTTTTAAAATAATAAAATTAAAAATAAAGCCCTGAGGCTTCTCCTTTCTCCTCCCACTGAGCCTCACCCCATTCACACCATCTCTTCAACATTTTAAAGGGATGCAGATGAATGCCACAGCCCATTTCTGCCAAAAGGAAGATGTCTGGAGAGCAGTCCCTTTCGGGTATCACTTGTTGCAGCCTCCACCCTGCTAGTGATGTCTTAGAGCAGGAGAGAGAATCACAGAGCCATCCAGATTTTGGACTGTAATAACCATGATTTTCCAAGGTCTTTAGCCTTCTCTTCCAAAGAGTGCTGGTACCTCACAAAACTACAAATCCCAGGATTCTGTAAGATGGAGCCATGGAAGTTAAAGTGATGTCAAATTACATTGTTTCTACAGTGTAGATGCACGCACAGTCTCCTACTCCTATATTACTTGTAATGCCTGTAAATGACTGTTGTCATGTTTCCTGGTAGTGATAGCCTCGAATGATTGAAGTAATGTCCCACCAAGGCTCTGAACTGGCTGATTCAGGATAAATTGTGATTGGCTAAAGACCATGTAAAACCTTTAGAGAGTGAATTAAATGTTCCAGTCTTCCCATTCTTTGTATATCATAGCAAGGTTTGCTTCTAGTAATTTAATGAGAATAGAGCTCAATAATGATAGGTTTCTTCCCTAGCTGATCCTAAGTCTTAGTTCAGCCAACTTCATCACTCCCAAGCCAAAACATTATTTTAGAACTGAGTTGGGCAACTGTGGCCCTCCAGAGGTTTTTGGTCGATAACTCCCATAATCTCTTTTGCTGTTCTAACAAAAACTGATGGAAGATGTTGACCAGAAGACACCTGGAAGGCCACAGTTGCTCACCCATTCTAGACTCATACCTCAAAAACACCAGTGCAAGTGAGCCCCGTGGTAACATCTATATTTCCTAAAGTGCTATGAGCTTAATAATAATTAAAATGATTTAAAATAAACAGTTCTTTTTGCAACAGGTTGGGGCAAGAAGAGGATACCTGGTGAGAACAGATTTTTTAAACAGTTGTCTGAATATAAGTGAATTTCAGTTATAGAGAAATTATTATTTGAATTTCCTGAATGGGTTAGGTTCCTTAGAACATAATGCAATAAAGATATGTTTTATAGGCTCAGTATAAAGCTTAGTTTTATCACTTTCAGCAGAGAGTTTGGAAATGCTGGGTGATTTAAGAATAGAAACAACGTGTCTTAGGACGTTATCACACAGGGCAAATCTGCTGGTTAATCCACACAAATCCCAAACAGAAACTGGATTTGTGCCCCGTATTTTCACACGACGTCGCATAGAAAGTGGACAGAAAGTGGACAGAAACTGGTGTGCATTTGGGAGCATTTCCCTGCTTTTCCCATGGTTCTAGTGAGCATTCCTCTATCTGCGCATGTGCAAGAAGCTCATTTCTAGTACATTTATGGGCTTTTCTCACTTGTGTGTGAACGTTAAATGCGCTTACTGTAAATTCGCAATTAAGGTAATTACATGTGAAAGCCATTTGCGGAATCAAGGTTTATTTTCCGTTTATTTTCGGAATGCCTCATTTCCACTTTATTATCACTTTCTGGCCCACGTGTGATAACGTCCTTAGAAATTGTCTGTACATGAGACATTGTAGTTTCCCTTGATGAGAAAGGAGATCTGTTCCATTACTGGGATTTCCCAGATGTTAGACTATCCCAGATTGGCTTCTTCCACCTATTTATAGCCCTCCACATTTGCAAGTTTGACCTTTGTGTATTTGATTATTCACAGTTTATTTGCTATTGCCTCTGCTGCTGCCCTAATCCACTTTTAATCATGAGTGCAAACCTCACAAGACTGAGAGACTGCAAATGTACAGCAAGGCTTTTAAGTTCCTATTTAAAATGGCAAAGGGCAATAGAGGAGGTAGTGGCAAGGCCCAGTAGCTACCCACTTCTGCCTTGCAAAGAAACCCTCAAAGGCATCCATGGTGGGTTCAATCTGTGGTTTGTGCATATATATATATATATATATATATATATTGCATTAAACATGGTTTCAGGGGGCTGAGCCCGAAATGGTTTCGGGGTCTAATCATTTTCCCACTTTTGTGAAGGTCTTACATCCCTAATCTCAGTGAATGTGTAGGGCTGGTATATCAGCAGGCTCTTAGCTCTCTCCTTACTTCAAGTATTTGGTCTCAGTCAGATATCCCGGAAGTCCTGTGGTTAGGTCTAGATGGCATTCTGACATATTTAAGAACTCCCTGTAACATACAATATTAGCAGATTAAAGACTTAACACTAAATCACAGTTTGACACCACATGGGCTTAAACCAGGGGTAGGCAACCTTTCCCCTTTAAGGGCCGAGGGACTTCAGCTCCCAGAATCCCAGGAGCTATTAGCCAACATGGGACTATTGGCCAATATGGCTGAGGCTTCTGGGAGCTGAAGTCCCTCGGCCCTTAAAGGGGAAAGGTTGCCTACCCCTGGCTTAAACCATTCCCTTCCCTCTGTGTTCCCCCTTCCTTCCCTCATAGCCCTTTTTCATCTGAGACAAACTATACTTTGCAATTACATTTTAACAGAAAACTGTGATGTGTATGTGCCCTTCAAATCAGAAGGGCAAACCATGATTAAAATGCCAAATAAAGCTTAATCTATTTGATTTCTGCTAGGCTGCTGCAGGCTGGAGAAGAGTAGGATAACAGACTGCCAGAAATAATGCAGCTTGAGTCCACTTTAACTGTCTTGGCTCAGTGTTAGGGAATCATGGGAACTGTAGTTTTTTCTGAAACATTGAGCCTTCTGTCAGAGAGCAGTTCCCATGATTTCCTAGCACTTAGCCAGAGCAGTTAAAGTGGACTCAAGCTGCATTATTTCTGGTAGTCTATAAAGGCCCTATGTATCTGATCTTAATGTCCTATGTTTGATGGCCCAAGCTCAGTTTAAATATCAAGAACCAATAGAAGGGAGATTGGGGTCCCTGAAAATGCCCATCAACTGCACCTGACTTGACACACAGGTCGCTTGCTCAAAGTTTATCTCACTACAGTAGGGCTTATTGTGTCTTTGTTTAAATTATAATTGTTAGATTAGGATAGTCTATACGTTTAGAGATTGAACATATGCAAATTTTATGCAAATTGGTGCCCTCTTTTATTCTTTTGAGTTATTTTGGGTGAGGGTGATTTGTAATTGCTACCCTAGCCAAAAGAAAGCCAGTGTGGTGTAGTGGTTTGAGCATTATACCAGGACTGTGGAGAACACGGTTCGAATCCCTGCTTGGCCATAGGAAACCAGTGGGTGACCTTGATCAAGTCACACACTCTTAGCCTCAGAGGAAGGCAAAGGCAAACCCCTTGTGAAAAAAAGTTGCCTAGAAACCTCAAGAGAGGTTTATTTTTTGCCTTAGGGTCACCTTAAATCAGAAATGACTTGAAGGCACACTACAACAAGAAGTAGCATGGAGGGGGAGATATAAAACTATGTGAATTGAATCAACAATTAGGGGAAAATGTAAATTGGAATTCTCTAGTTAAAATACTTGTGTGTGTGTTTATGTGTTTGCATTAGGATATGTGAAACTAATTCTGCAAGAATCTACAATCTAACAAGTACAAACAGAGCATTTAGAGCTTTGAAGTTTCCTCTTTTTTAAAACAAAGAAAATGCTCCTCATTAACATGAAAGAGTCAGCAGCCGAACTTGTTTTTTCACTGAATTCCCAACCCAATCCTTGTACAGGAAGACAGAATATTAATTTGTCTGGCTGGAAGCTTTATACAGTGAAGAGCTTGGGTGATCATATGTCAGCCTGTCTCAACCTGACATCCTCCAGAGATGTGGACCACAACTCCCATGTTCCCCACCTATAGGCTGTTCTGTGCATTCATCTATTGGCCTGGTGTCAGAACCCTGGTGCTGATGCTGACCTAGTAGTTGGTTTTCAGGACAGAAGTCAGTCTCTGGCTTATGGGTCACTGAT